TAGCTCTAGTAAATTGTTCATGTCATTGAGTTAACTCACTTGTGGGTAGGTTCTTGCGGTGTCCATTTGTTGGACGAGGTTCGTGGAACACCTCTTAGCCGCCGAACCACCAAGTGTTGGTCGACACAACGGGACTAGCGTGCCGGCAAGCACATGAACCTCGAAAGAAAAATCATGTGTCATTCTTGTGATTGGATTTCTTTCGGTGATTGGTTGTTATCATATTGTGATTGGTTCATTCCTCTATACGATGGTATAATCACCCTACTCACTCCATTATCTTCTTGCAAACTAGTTGTAGCAAGCTCTTTAGTGTAGCTAGTTTTGAGAGCTTGCTTAGTTGCTTAGTTTCATCTAGTGGAGTTCTTTAGTGTAGTCTTGTTGAGAGCTCTTAGTGAGTAGTGACTTAGCTCTTGAGTGTGCCTAGTGATCATAGTAACTAGAATTGTTGGGATAGGTGGTTTGCAACCCTTGTAGAGCTAGAGCAAATTGCTTTACGCCATTTGTTATACTAATCAATTGCTCTAGTGCTTTGTAGAGTTTTTAAATAGGCTATTCACCCCTCTAGCCATATCAGGACCTTTCAAGGGACATGATGTACGTTCTTCAGTTGCACGGTCTTTCCCGAAGTAAGCTTCAGATCGACCGTACCAACACCACGTACAGCCGCACGCGCCCCGTTCCCCATCAACAAGGAGGAAGTCATCCTGAACTAATAAGAAGAAAACAAAGAAATATTAGAACATACATGAATATTAGCTCCTGTATCCACCCACCAATCAATTGAATGAAAAAACTAAAAGAACTGTATGTAACAAATTACCATACCCCGATGTTCCTCCATCAGCCTCAATCATGTTTGCAGATTTTTTCTTGGGCTTCCACTTGCCATACGGGCAATCCTTTGTATAATGCCCAGACTTGCCACAAGTGAAACAACTCCCCTTTTCCTTGTTCTTCTTCTTCTTCTTAAAAGGTGTGGTGTTCTTTTATTTGAGTTCTTGTTGGAATTTCTTTTTGTAGGAGTGTTGAGGATTTTTCTGCACCACATGGGCACTAAAACTTCCCTCAACAGTTTTTCTTGTCACGAACGTTCTTTCCTCTCGCCTTCTCTTCAACATCCAAAGAGCCAATGAGATCGGCAATGCCAAACTCCTGTCTCTTATGTTTCAGAGAGGTAGCAAAATATGTCCAAGCCTGTGGCAGCTTTGCAATGGTACATCTTGCCACAAACTTATTTGGCAATACATAACCAAAAATTTTGAGCTCTTTTGCCAGTGTTTGTATCTCATGAGCTTGTTCTACCACAGAATGGTCATCAACCATCCTATAGTCATGAAACTACACCATGACGTACAACTCACTACCAGCATCAGAAACCCCATATTTGGCCTCAAGCGCATCTCACATCTCTTTACCAGTCTGTAGCGGCACATATGCATCCACTATGGAGTCTCCTAGCACGCTTAGAATTGCAGCCTTGAACATAGTATCAGCATGTTGAAATGCACGCTCGTCCTCAGGAGTATGCAGCCCAACAGCTCTAGGTTCAACAATAAAATAGCAGTGCATAGCAGTCAACCATAGAATGCACCTCTGCCGTCACCTGTTGTAATGAGTGCTCTCAAAGACATTTGGTTTCAGCAATACCCGCAAAGCCGACTACAAAAAAAATGTCTATCACGTTTTTGGATCGTTAGAATTTTAGACAATTTCAGTAATAGTTTAATCCAGAAAATAGCAATAATCAAAAGTTTTGTGACATCATGTATGTGCTTGTGTGATCTTATTGTGGCTAATATGTAGAACATACTAAAAAACGAGATTGAAGCCAAAAACCTTGGATTAACAGTAACATACCCAATGGCAGAGCCGGATGCACTAGAAGACATAGTGTCTGTCGGTGTAGTCGTCCCGCTCGACGCAGTGCAGACGAGTAGCAGTGTCGATCACCGAAGATGGAGTTCCCCCGTAGCGAGTAGTCATGCCACCAGCGACACTCTCCAAAAATGTGATTGCCACCTTCCACCCGAGCAGGTGAACTCGTACTTCGGAGGCCTACTATCCTAGGACTCGTGCGCGCAAGTACTGGGACGAAGAAGCTTTGGGGCAGCTGAATATGTAGTTGTCTCGAAAGCGAAAAAGATGAGATTATAAACTCGCAACCAAGAAAGTAAACGGATGCAGGAGGAGATCAGAGGACGGAGATGGCAGTAACAAGTGAAACTTCCATCATGAAGCCGCCACTAACCCAAAAAGAAAGTAACTCCCATAATTATGTGATTTGATTGGCAAAGCCGTCCCGTCCCGTCCGCTCGGCCCCTGCCGCGGCCCGGCCCGGCCGACAGCCACGCGCGCGCGTGGCACACCAACATCCTTTTGTCATCTTCTCAATATAGATAGACAATGTCAAACCATATAAATTGAGTTAACGTTAAGTCAAAATCCCGTATAATATTAACCATAAATCACGCATTTATTAATATGAGCTATAGAGTTTATTTGATTTATTAAATATTATATGAGCCAAGCCCATAATATACAACTGTAACGGCAACCTCGCACCGTTGCACGGCTTGGGCAGTCGTGCGAGACGCAGGTCACGCAGCGATTGCTAGTCTCGGCCAGGAGGCCAGCGCTCTCGCCAGTAGACGCACGTGGCAAGCACTCACGCATTTGAAATTTTGATTTGAAGTGATCGGAGGGAACAGTTATGTCTACCAGCAGTTTGCACGTCATTTGAACTCAAGCACTGCCCAACGTTCGCCAACTACGCGCGCGCCGTACATTCTAATATATCTTTGCTTTGGCCGCCAAGAGCGCCGTCCACGTCGCCCCGAATCATCCAGCCGTTCGATCTCGCGTTGGACGTCTCAGATTTATTGTAGCGGATTTCGTCGTAAGCGGTTTTCCGTGCTTCTTCTCGCCTTTTCCGGCTTCTCCTCGGCTTCTCCGGCTCCTCGTCGGAATGCGGCCAAACGAATATATTCGCACCTCCTGCTTCAGCTTCTAGACGCTTCTCCTTTCCCCATCCTCTCTCCTCTTCCTCTCTCCCCCGACGGGCGACGGTGGCTCACGCCGGCGGCGACCCGCGGCTGCGGCGCCCTCGCCCTCCTCCTCCCCCCCCTCGCGCGTCTCGTGCTGCTAGCGGACCCGTGCGCGACACACGACACTTCGCATGAAGCGGTGTCGGGCTGACGGCGCTTCTTGCTGCGCAAGGCCACCGGCCTCGGCGCTTGCAGCAGTGGGGCCCCCCTTGGCAGCCGGGTGGTCCCCCCCCAGCGGCCTCCTCCCACCGATGTTGCGCTACTGCTCCTATGCAATGCAATAGGAAACCCTAGGTGCCTCTCCGTCTCCTGATCTATCGCTGCCTCTCCCTTCTCATCTCGGATCGGGTGCCGTACCGGTGCGGGAAGCGCTCCATGCGGCCGGATCGAACGGCGCACCAGTGTGAGGAGAGTCAATGCGATCGTCGCCGCCGCGACAGCCCCATACCGCCGCAGATCAGCTACGCGAGCTCCTTCCACTTGACGCTGCGCGCAGACTCCAATGACAAGACCCTCGACCGTCGTGGCCGTGACCGGCCCTGTTGACGCGACCGACACCACTCCAGCTGCATCCTTTGCTCTATTTCATCCTCCCTGACCTTGCTTGGTCCTGCTACGGTAACCTCAAAAAAAATCCCATATATCTCCTTTGCCACCTTATGTCTCTGGTCACTTGATTTTGTTTTCTATACGTATGGACGTAGTTTGTTTACACGTACGATTTGTGTTCTGGAAAAAAATTATGAAAAATGTCTCCTCTCATAACTTATGCATGTATTGTTAATCTGGAAGGCACATTGTTTGTAGGTTTGAGACATTGATGTGAACAAACTATGTTATCTCCTATTTCCACTCCAATTTATGCGAAAGAGTCCAATTTGTGCAGCCATTCTTTCGCTTTTGGCACTGTTTGCTTTTCCTTATTATTGTTGTTTATCGTATATGTATAGGCAAATTTATAGCCTTAACTAGGTGATTTGTCGGTGCGCGCGAGGACGCGCGTGATGGACTAGTTAATATTATATGCTGCTGTGAGGTTTGCTTAGAGTAGAGCTGCTTGATTTTCTCTTCCTTTCGCTTCATCCTTATTCATTGGCAGTTGGTGCCGGTGAAGTACCGTTGCTATGGTTCACCTACCCATCCTTATTCTGCAATGTTCATCAATCATCAGGCTCTAGAAGGTAGAAACATGGGACAGCTAGTAGGAGTACGTTTTCCGGTGTCGTATGGTGCTTTTCATCTGGAAGGAAGACAGGTGACTATCATGAGGATTTTGTCTCGATAGATGCATGCAAACCTACTAATTAATACGTACGTACAAGGGCATGACGACCTCTTCCTGGCCGCGCATTTCTTCAGAGCTTGCTGTCAGCATTTGACATGATGGCAGACATACAACGCGTGATTAAAGTCGTAGCCGGCAGCAGTGTCGTAGTACTGTCGTGCACGCAGTGAACCCATGGAAATCTCTCCAGCCGGCCAGGATGCTGTCCGGTACAAGCTTCCGTACACATGCCGTAGCAAAGTCCAGGTGCTGCGTTACAGCGTTTAGCCGTTAGCTGAGCTGACTACCTGAGCCTGCATACTCCTCCGTATTTCCCTATCCCATGCAGGTCGTCAGGGGAATCATGGCCTATCATGTTGCAGTGGGAACCGAACGCCGCCACACGTGGCGCGAAGGAAAAGCAAAATGCAGAATGGGTTCGTCACTGCCTTCAGTTTAACGACAAGAACATTGGAACGGGACGCTCTGGTCTGGTCTGGTCCGCACACCCGCGTTCGTAGGAGTATAGAGTATATCATGTGGCGATGTTCAAAGCGTACTTGTCTACATAAGAACGCGCCCACGGACAGCCGAGCAGCAAACCAACCGCTTGCTTTTCCAGTCTCTGGTAGTCTGGGAACGTCGCGAAAACAGTTCCACTCCACGCTCTCCGGCCAAGAACGCTTCCCATGGACCGCAGTAACGTCGCCGCGGCCGGTGCGGTGTCCGTCGACGTGCGCGGCGGCGGCGGCTCGCCGCCGGCGGGCGCGGGCGGAAGGAAGCGCCGCTTGGTGGCGAGGGGCGTCCAGAGCACGCTCTCCAAGACGTCCATGCTGGCCAACTTCCTCCCCACGGGCACGCCGCTGACCTTCGAGATGCTCCTCCCGGCCGCCTCAGGCGACGGCACCTGCTCGGCGGTCAGCGTCGCGATGCTCAGGGCGCTCCTCGCGCTCTGCGCCGCGTCCTGCTTCCTCTCCCACTTCACCGACAGCTTCCGCGCGCCGGACGGCAAGGTGTACTACGGCTTCGTCACGCCGCGGGGCCTGTCGCTGTTCAGGGCCGGGCTCGGCGTCGAGGTTCCCAGGGAGGAGAGGTACCGGCTCGCCTTCGTCGACGTCGTGCACGCGGTCATGTCGTGCTGGTCTTCGCGGCCGTCGCGCTCGCCGACTACCGGGTCTCCGGGTGCCTCGTCGCCGGGCACCGCAAGGAGATGGACGAGGTGATGGAGAGCTGCCCGCTCATGGTGGGCACCGTGTGCAGCGGCCTCTTCCTGGTGTTCCCCAACACCCGCTACGGCATCGGTTGCTTGGCTGCGTAGAAACAGCAGAGACCAGAATAGAGAGTATGGCAGTGTAACTTTCTTCGGTACCTGTGAATCTGTGATCAAATGATGTCTTGATCCTTTTATGGTTCATTCATGTTTTCTTAGCACCTGTAAAAACTTGGATGTGATGTGATCCTATCTTAATCAGTACCGATTTGAAATTTCTTCAGACTGGATCATAAAGGGGCTAGGGACAAAAAGAAAAATCAGGCATGGAGTGAACATTGAATGGATTATACAAGAGAATGGCCGTCAAATTGCTTTACATCAGAAGCAAAATGCATTCCTTTCAAAAGAATGGCAAGAGAGACTGGCTCAATCTATCCTAACGTAAACTGCCGCCGCTGTATCCTACATCCTAGCGAGATACTATTTTACAACCCACAAAGTAAGCAAAGCAGTACCCTCCTACCTATGCCAAAAACAGATGTGACCTACATTCTGTCTACGATGCATATCCCCTAGTTTGACTTGAAACTCTTCAAACTGCGGACGAAACAAACTTGAAGATATCCAAAACTTTGTTTGCCTTCCAGTTCTGCAAGAATCCTCTTAGGCGGGGCTGTATATATCAAGAACGTTTTAGCGTGACGGTGTCTGTTCAAGCAATGGCCAACAGCAACCACTGAAAAATAAAGCATGATTTGCAGTATTTCTGTTATTCTTTGCAACATGTTCCTCGTTTTGTTTTCTGAAACTTATCCCAGAGGCATATCATATCCCTTGGTTCTTGGTAGTGAGCAACCACATACCCATCCTCGCATCCTTCAACCAAGATCCTCCCATCATTCTCATACTTGACATCCAAGCCATCCTTCTTCATCTCATTGATCCATATTCCCATCGCGACATCCTCCAGCTTGAACATCTGCAAGAGTGATGATGATAATATCCTATTCAGTATAGAAAGAATTCATAATACCATGACCACAGCGGTTAGAAACCAGCAGCTACTAAGGTTGCGTCTGTTTTTAAGACACTGAGCAGGTCATACATCACAGTATTTGTTATATTTATTGCCTTTAATGCTATCCAAACTGAAGCAACTAAAAACCGTTCCAATTACTCCATATAACAACACGAAAATAAATTTCCACAGAACTTTGGCAGTACCTTTAAGTCCCCACTCTTGTGTTTCCTGTAAACTTCTATAGCTATGTCCTTTGAAACAATATATCCTGGTCCATGCGCCCATGGAGGATAACTCTCCTCAGGCCATTCCTAATTCAAGCAAAACATTAGTTACAGTTACCACACTTGATCCACCGCACAAAATGACAAAACCAGAACTAAATTACTGAAAATAAGGCAGCAAAATATGCTTAAAAACCAATATGCTAATAAGCAGAGTGACAACCAACCACTAGTTAGTGCTGCAACAGTATGCAGGTGCTTAACCAGCTTTATATGTTTCTCATACATGCATGCAGGAGCCCCTAACCTCCTAATGCTGCTTTTATACAAAACTTGAGCTGCTTAAGTGAGAACTTACGCAATGTCTCAATCCACCATTTATAGAACATTAGAGAAAACACATGGCAGAGCAATGGTCTAGAGGAAGAGCCTTATCATATATATAGAAATGATATTTTGCAGAATCTCTTGATATAAACATATAGCATTTGCGGTCCTCAAACTTGTACTGGGGTGTCATTTAGGTAGATAAACTCTTAAAATCTACATCTAGGTTCATAAACTTGTCTAAGTGTGTCACATGAGGTCCAAATCACCCTAATCAACATGTAATTACGTATGTGGCAGTGGCACTCTTGCATGAAGTCTGAGATATCCCCGTTCTCTACTACATGCTCATGGCCATTGTCGCTACCATGTATTGTGCATATAAAATTACCATGTACCATTTGATATGCCACATAGACTAAGCTTGTGCTGATTGGAGTGATTTGGACCTCAAGTAGCACATTTAGCAATTTTAGGGACCCATATGTGCATTTTAAGAGTTTAGGACCTATATATGACACCACAGAGCATGTTTAAGGACAATTGGTGTATTTTACTCAAGTATATATAATTTAACACAAGTTACCTCAGGGGTTATGTACCACTTGCTATATGGATCTCGATGAGGCTGGGAATCAGAATTGACACGACCATACAACAGTCCATGGCTGATATTGGTTCGGTCGAGGGAAGAAAGTATTTCATCTACTCGAACAAAAGCATCGTCATCAGTTTTCATCACATACTTGGCTGACAGGACATTTGTCTGCAAAGAACACTTGCTTAGAAAATGCAAACAGAATATCAAGTGCCGTCTAAATAAAATAAAAAATAATGCAATAAATCAGATATACCCCATAGATGCAGATCGCTATGGTCTTCCAAAGAATCAGGCTATAGTAATCCACAAATGGCATCAACTGGATGTCTCCATATGTTCGCGCTTCATTCCAGAGTTCCTCATTGACCACCTCATTTTTGTGCTTTTAACAATGGAAGGTAGGGCCAGATGAGTATAGACTCTAAACTGAGATTTAATTCAAACTAGTAAAGGGTTGAAAAGTATAACATATAGAAAAGTGACTGGTAAAACCATTATGTTTAATGGCTGTTCAAACAATAGTATTGATAATGATAAACAAAAAAAATGGTGTGATAGGTTGCAATTGAAAGCAATTCTGTAGAGAAAGCAATCAACAGAGACAGAAATACCCTCAATGGAGTGGTAGTTGCATGCATAATTTGTATCCGATTGACCACAATAGTGCACTCGACATATTGTTTAGGATCTATTAAGATGAGCGATGCCTTCTAGTATGCTATTGTTCTTCTACATCATAATTTGTCTTGTACATACTTCTAAGCATAGAACCATACTAAAAACTAAAAGCCACAGCAACTATATTGTCAAATTACCATAATATAGCTGTCCACTTTCAAAGTTTTATTCTTACCAGGCCAACAAAGAAACGAACTGCAACTTTTCCTGAGCGCACATCATCATACTGCATCCAAGTTCTGCGAACTGCCATTCGGCGTTTGAAATTATTTGCTGTAGAGAAGACCCCAATGAAAAGATCAACAGATTTATTCATGGGCACCGGTGGAGCCTTCAATGTTTCTAAGTCAGTGACATGCTCGAAGTCCTCTGTTGTAGGCAGGCCACTTGCTATCACAGATAGCAATTTAATATCTCCTGCAATTCTTACTTCACCAACAAACCCTGGATCCAGATCCTGGAGAGATCAATATATGAAGTGTAAATATAACAATAAAATAAAGCAGCACATAACATACTGTGATATCACTAAAAAGAGTGCATAACTAAAGAAAATAGTTTCATGTTAGCATGTATGAAATGACAAATACTTTAGCACATAGGGGGAAATCATTTTGCCTATAAATTGCTATAGGATGCAAAGGAATGATGGATTATTTATACTTATGCAAGACTTACCTCTCGGAATGCAAACGAAGTGATATGTTTGCCATCTACAGTCATATGTATCCCATGAGCTCCGATACGAAGAATTGCTACAGCAAGATATCCCTGTCTGAATGGAAAATACTTTCTAGGTTCCGCTTTCTTCTTCCTTGCAGCTGTCATGGTCGAAACATTTGAACGCAATCTAGAGGGAAGGATTTCTTTCTGGTCCTCACCTACCATGCTACTACATTTTTTTAGATCATCCACTGTGAAACAAGAGAAAGCAAAGAACCGATGTCAACCCTATGAAGAAGATTGTCGCCAAGACCATATCATTTTGTTTAACAGCATATAAGAAATAAAAACAAACAAAATGCATATCTAGATCAATCAACACATTGCAGCTCCATTATCTTAGTAAAGTGCATAGTTATGGAGATATATGTCAGCAACATCAACTGAAAAAGTATTTCATTACATCTTGTATGTGCATGGCTAGCTTCAATACTTTAACAAGTGGATAAAGTAGCCAGATTACAGAAAGAATTACTCATAATATCATGGTTCTTGCATGGCCTGCATAAGATATGGGCCACTGAAAGAAGAGTACCTTTTGCACTGTCCTTAGCATCTGAATCAGGAGATGGGCAACGGTTTTCAGAGCCCCAATCATCAGCTATTGTCCATGTATTTTGGACTATTACAGGATCTTCTGTGAGTTTATCACCAAGAAGCCGGACATTGTAATGAAGGACAATTGGAGGGTCTGGTTCACCAGGAACTGCAGCTCCAGTTAACTCTATCTTAAAATTACCCAGAAGACCACCAGGAGTGCCAATAATTGTTATTGAAGAGCCCTGAATCAATCCACAGGGAAGTTTTAAAGAAAACCTATCCCCTAATCTTGTGGCATTCATCCTTCGGATAGAATAAGGGCATTGCTTTCCTTTGTCCTTCTGCTGAATGCTGCCATTAACAGAAACAGCTGAATCATCATATGCAAGGGCTGTATTGAGTTCCCTCCATGCAACTCCAGCTTCCTTGATTGCCTCTACTCCATCTGGTAGGATATGGGCATGAGATAATAGGTGTTTCAAATGATTCCAAGAATGTAAAGATTGAAGTTCTCTATCAGAGAGATTTCTGGTAATGGAAAGGTTGGATGCCAAGAGTCTGGCTGATATTACTTCAGAAGAATTCTGTGGATTCTGAATTGCAGGTGGGTTTGGAACATCCAACCAATGTAATTCTGCCGTCCTGTTTTGCTGGAAAACATACTGAAGCGATTTTTCTGCAAGTGGGCTATCCAATATCACATATCTTAACATCAAGATGATGAACAAAGATACAATGACAAAGCCGCCATGCCATTTCTTCATCACTCAAAACCTTGTGGCAAGTTGGTCCGGAGTTTGCATTCACTATATCTTCAATCCAAAGCATCACATAAATTCAGAACCAAACCATCCAATCAGAAAGTTGAACAAATTCCTGCTGAACTGTCACCCTGATGTGGTGTATTCAACAACTCACTCAACGTAACCAAACATTCCCAGGTGTATCCAGAAAGCTTTATAACCACAAGGAAGCGTACCAACGAAACTTG